GTCCTTCCAGAACACTCTGTTCAGATCCCTGACACCTTCTCTTCCTGGGAGAACTATGTCTCATTTGTCCTAAAACATGACCCACTGGTCAGGTCTCATCTGCACTTCTTCCAGATAGGAAAGACCTTCTTTATCCTACAAATGCAGGTGGAACATCCTCCCTTCCCAAAGAGCCAGCTGGGATCTGATCCTGCCCTTCATACAAATGCATGCAGATCCCATCCGGTCTCCTCTGTGACATGATCTTTAAACCCTCCAATGCTATCCCTGTGTCAGTCGCCAGAGTGGACCTGCCCTTGAAGTTTTATGTAGAACTTCTCCCATCCCTGGATCAGGGGTGATTTTCTGCTGATTTCCTATTCAAAACTGCAGGCAAGCCAGAGGCAGGCTCCGAAAAGCCTATGAAAGGCAACTGAATGAATATACTGTTCCTTCCAATTGTGACTCCATCATTTCCTCTCATTACTCTAATAGAAACAAATCTTTCTCATCTCAGCCCTATTACCTCACACAAAGGAAAATGGTATGTAATCCCGTTAGAGCTGGGCTGCTGCTGGACACATTTAAGGTCATTATTCTGGGATGCCAGTCTCCACTGTGTGAGACTGGGATAAGTGGGAAATGCAATTACTAGGCTATTCAAATCCCTAGAATGAAACCCTGCCGTTAACAGGCAGAAGCCAGCAAGAAAAAGAGCAGTTGCTTTATGAAATTATAGGGTTTGGCTGAATCAGACTCTAATCAGAACCTCAATAAAGGAGCAGGGCTAGCTCCCACTGCCATCCATGGAGTCTCCTCATTCCCCTCAACCTGATCTTTGGCATCCTCAGTGGAAGCCCAACCTTCAAGATAGGCTACGGTCATGAAGCCAGAGGTGTACAAGTCCAGTGGAGACAATACTGGTCCATGTCCAGGATTTACACTGTGCTTTGAAATGGGGAAGTCCTAAGAGTCCAGCAACAGGAATATGCCCGCTACTGCCACCACCTCAAACTGTACTTTGGCTCTGAGCTTCATGGGGACAGATTCTGAGATCAAGTCTGTTTCCTAATATTCATGGCCTACAGCACCAGTCTTGCTGGTTGCTGGTGCAACCCAGCTAAGCAGCCAGATGTGAAATTCACATTGCTAAAGTCATGGAGCTGTAACCCCCCTACAAGGAATTCACATGCTGGAGGACAAAGGGGGGGCTAGAATTGCTTGTGGCAGTCAGTGAAGCAGAGCAGAACATACAAATGGGAATAATTGAAACTGCCTCATTGAATTGGCTTCTGTTGAGTGGTTAGACACTGACATGTTCCTAACTGTTCCCATCCAGGTGAAGCCAAGCCATTTTTAGCTTGACGGGCAGCAAAGAAAGCATCTGAAATCTTGCAGGACAAACACTAAGGAAGACCGCACCAGAACAACAATGACCATCACAAACTACAAGCAGAGACAAACTTCTGTCCAAGACTGATCCTGACAGCAAACCCCTTACTGTTATGCCTTGTGCTTCCTTCTCCTTCTTTGTCCCATATTTGAGCTGTATGGCTGGCTTTGCTGGTCTCTCCTGCAGTCAGTCACTCTTCTTTCTCCTTTATGCCCCTCTTTATCCTCTACCTTCCCCACTGTGTTACCCTCCTGCTGCCCAAGTTCTCTCAGTCTCCAAAAGGATTTCTGAAAGCAGGACCATTCTTGCACATCCCAGAAGGAAGTGAAGTGGGCTGAGGCAAGGTTTCTGGTAGAGCAGCTGATCACCACTGGAGTCTCCGAGTCCCTTGAAGAGACGAGAGTCACTTCCCTGTTTATGCTCTTTATTAGTCCCTATTCTCTTTAATCGGCTTAGACTGATGAGCCGAGGCAGCGGTAGGGATCAGCCAGGCTGTTTAATTAAAGGATTGCAGCTCAGCCTTGCAGTTTGGGGGTTTGTGTAAATGAGCTGAAAGTACATTATTTAATCTACTGTGCAGAGAGGAGTTGGGGCATTAATGAAGCAAACTCTAATTAAAACTAGACTGCTGATGGTTATTAGTGGCATCAGTTCTGACAGGATTGATCTCATTTAGGGAAACGCCTCATCATGGAAGGAGAAAAGAAAGAATAAACCCTAGCTGGTTTATCAAATTCACCACAGCATCACTTGTGACTGACTGTCCATTCAGCGGGGCTCAGGAGAGCTGCACAGGGAGCCCCGGCATCCCAGGCTCTCACATCGGGAGCCCTGATGAGCTTATTTAGGCATGTGCCTCACTCACCCAGGAACTGATTGCCTATTCAGGCTGTCTGACCCACATATTTCAGTCCTGATTGACTTTTGTTCTGCCTTGGGTCAAAGGGGAGCCTGTTCATGATTTGAGCAGGGTGACAGGCTCTGTAAATGATCTGATGAGCCTCTTCCAGCAACATATTGAGCCATTCCAGAGCAGCATAGCTATCAGCTATGGATGTCAGCTCCACAGTGACCCTGTGTTTTTCCCTCTCTGCCACTTTTTTACCCTCCTTGCCGCATTGTGTTTGTAACTTCAGATATGAAGGAAACCCATAGGTGATGGCAGAACCTGTCACAGGTTTGAATGTATTTTCTGGCCAGCATAATGCTGACCAGTGAGTTTACAAGTCCTGCATGTGCTTGCCTTTCTTCTGCACAGTGTGGGAAGTAGGGATGCTCTTCTCACCTGAGCCAGTGGCATAGGGAGATTGCATACAAAAGCTGCTCTGTTTCAAAAAGCAAAAATCCTGTGTACCTGTTTCTCACCTTCAAACAGCCACAGTGGCTTCAACCACCTCTATCTCTATAGGAAGGGGTTCTTTACTGTGAAGGTGGCGAGGCACTGGCACAGGTTGCCTGTAGAAGCTGTGGCTGCCCCATCCCTGGCAGTGTTCAAGGCCAGGTTGGACGGGGTTTAGAGCAACCTGGTCTAGTGGAAGGTGTCCCTACCCACAGCAGGGGGCTGGAACTGGGTGAGCTTTAAGGTTCTTTCCAACCCAAACCATTCTATGACTCTACATAGAACACTGTGTCACACACAGATTCAGGACTGCTGTTGGGGTCTCAGGGCACTAGAAAAGTAAAGGACAAGAGAAAGCCTTGGGGAAAAACCTAAGTAAAGCAGGGGGCCTGCAGAGCGGTACAAGCTACAAAAGACATAAAAGGGACAGGCCTAGATAGGTATGAGAAATCACTTAACTGGAGCCCCAGATGAAAGGGGTCATGATCATTCATCTCCACTCCTGAGTTTCCTGGCTCAGATTCACCTTTGCATGTGTTGTTGCAAGAGTTGTTATATTACTGAACAACTAAACAACTTGCCAAAGTTGTTAAGTTACTGAAACAATTTGCTTTCTCTTTAATTTACCTGCCAAACCCCAGCTGAGAAATGTGGTGGTTCCCAGCACAAGGAGGGCAGGAAAACTCAGGTTCAAGGTATGGGGAGGGCCTTTGGCAGTCACTGGGAAAAAAGAAAAGCCTGAGAAAAAGAACCCTAGAGCTTAAAACACTGGAGGTGTAACAGCTTAGAACACTGTAGGTGTATCCTTATCGTAGGATAATGCTAGAAACTAAGGGAACTGATCAGACATAAGATGGAGGCTGGACAAGAATGGGGCAGGGTCAAGGATCAGGGTATGATGATAGAACACTATGGCAAAATTGAGCCTGGGTTCAGAGAGAACGGAGCACATAACCAGCACTCTCCCCAGAAATGCAAAGGAGAGGTAGCTGTCCCTACCACAGAAATCTCTGCTGTCTCCTCCTCTTCCTTGCCAGCATCTCCACACCTACCACAAAGGTGCAGCTGCAGATGTCCCACAAGGCTGTCATGCAAACTTTAGCAGTGCTTGAAAGCCCTCAGCACAGATGTCATAGGGCTTCATACGTCTTCATACACAAATGGTCAGGAGTGGTCCTGCTTCTTTGCCTTGTCTCCAAGTGTGCCTGAACCCTGTATTTCGGCACACCCATATATACAACGTTCTCTTTGCACTTGTCCAGCACCCACACTTCCCTTGGAAGGAAACAGAAACCACAGCCTGCTCCAGAGAGCAGAACAAACAAGAGAAATATCATTTCTAAAATGCTGTAGCCTCCCTGCTGCAATTCAGTGCCCGCTCCATCCATCCAGAGCCCTCCCTAGTAACAAGGCTTCTCATAGAGATGCCAAAGGTCAGATGCAAAAGTCTAGCAGTGTGAGGAGGGAAATCTGTGAAGTGAAACCTGTTTGCTGTTTACAGAAGGGTGATGAGGCCTGAGAAGAAGGAGTAGGTCTGTGAGATGGAGGTGTAAGAAGTAGTGAGAGGAGAAGGAGATGACAAGAAGAGAGGTGCAAGGCCAAGCATGGAAACTATATGCAGTATGTGCATCTCAAGTATTTTTGGAGCTCCTTGGACCCCTTGGCCTCAGCACTGATGTCATTCACGAATGAGGGAGAGCTACAACAACCGCTGGTGGGGCTTCACTGAATACAAGCTGGTGATAGTTAACAGTATCTGTCTGTAACTGTCCCTCACAGGTAAGCTCAGACCATTTCAACACATGTAAAACTGCATGCCCCAGTGTGTGAGAGAGAACCCTGAGTTTGTTTGGTGACTTCTGCTGTAGCTTAAAGGTTATGGGTCTATACCAGTGTGTGTCCAGGTACCTTATGTGGGATAACTACTTGGAAGGAGAAGAGTGAAGCATGTATATACTGGTATTAAAGTGATGCAGAAACGTAAGAGAAGATACAAGCGTGAATGTGGGGTGATTGAAGTAGATGTTTGAAGAGAGGCTGAAAGTATGGGTTTGGAGGTACGTGAGTAGAGGCCAGAGGTGGTTTGTGAGCAATTACACAACAGTATGAACAGTAGTCTCTAGGAGGGAAAAGAGAGGGATGGCAGTGCTGGGGACATGGAACATAAGGGAGGATGGAGGAGGATCGGCGTGATAATATGTGAGTGTTGTCTGGGGCAGGATGATTGTGATGGATGGTAAGAAAGTAGGGGATGGAAAAGAAAAGGTCGTGCTGACAGCAATTTCCCACCTTGGTGAGGAGTCTGGAGACGAAGGCTTCTGCTCTGCATCAGCTGCTGGGCAGCAGAACTGGTGTAAAACAGTTTCATTCCTGTAAGAAAAAAACAAACCACAGCAGGTCAGTGTTTGGCTCACTCAGCAGGAAACTCAAGGGGGAATGTCTTTCCCAGGGCTGTTGCAAGGGAACAGGGACTCCGCATGATGCTGAAAGACCTGATTATTACATGAACATTTTGCACTCTGAGGTGGTGGGGAGCAGGAGAGAAGGGGACTGGCAATTCTATTCCCCTACCTTACCTGTGCTGCTGCTGCTGTCAAGCTGTAGAGAACAGGCCAAAATGTGCCCAAATAAAAAGCCTTCCTTCTATCAGTATCTGCCTCATGATCCCATGCATCTAATGAAAAACAGTTTTGCCTATCTCTAACTTCTATTTCTTTTGGGACAGAATATCTCTTTAGATGCGTTTCCTAGACATTGTAATGCAAAAAAAGTTGAGATTTTTTGCTGACTGGCTAAATTAAATCCTGAAACCTCTCTAGAGCACAGAAATGGCCTCAGCAAATCAGCACTGGGCATTGCCAGAAATAGTAGAAGAGAGCTGAAAGAACAAGCACAAGTGGGGGGGGGGGGGGGGGGGGGTTAAAATGGCAAGTGGAAGAGAAAAGGAAAGCAAAACCCTAAGAAGTAACAAACCTGAGCAAAATGAAAAACAAAAGGCTAAAATGTGTTTATTACATAAGAAAGGCAGCAGTATTCATCCAAAGGAAAAATCCTAGACCAAACTTCAACAAGGCTTAACAAGGCCAAGTGCAAGGTCCTGCACAGGGGCCAGGGCAATCCGAAGCACAAACACAGGCTGGGCAGAGACTGTGGAGCAGTTCTGAGGAGAAGGACTTGGGATGTTGGGTGACAAGAAACTCAACATGACCCAGCAGTGTGCACCTGCAGCCCAGAAACCAACCGTGTGCTGGGCTGCATCAAAAGGAGCGTAAGCAGCAGGTCAAGGGAGGTGATCCTGCCCCTCTACTCTGCTCTCATGAGACCCCACCTGCAGTACCGTGTTCAGCTCTGGGGCCCCCAACACAGGAGGGATGTGGACTTGTTGAAGTGAGTCTGGAAGAGGCCACAAAGATGATCCAAGGGCTGGAGCACCGCTCCTGTGAAAACAGGCTGAGAGTTGGGCTTATCTCAGCCTGGAGAAGAGAAGGCTCGGGGAGAACTTACTGCGTCTTCCAGTGCCTAAAGGAGGCTACAAGAAATCTGAGGGACTTTTTACAAGGGCAGGTAGTGACGGAACGTGGTGGAATGACTTTAAACAGACAGAGGGGAGATTTACATCAGATGTTAGGAAAAGGTTCCTAACTGTGAGGGTGGTGAGGCACTGGCACAGGTTGCCCAGAGAAGCTGTGGATGCCCCTTCCCCGGCAGGGTTCAAGGCCAGGCTGGATGGGGCTTGGAGCAACCTGGTTTAGTGGAAGGTGTCCCTGCCCATGGCAGAGGGGTTGGAACTGGATGAGCTTTCAGATCCCTTCCAACCCAAACCATTCTGTGATCATAAACTTCCAAAACTGCTCACTAATATTTAGTGACTTGTTCTGTGTCTCTTGCCTGAGAACATTTTTAAGGAGCCTGGTTTTCAGGGCTGTTGGTCACTTGGGCACTTATCACAGCATTGGAACCCAGTAAGAGCTGCTCTGCACCTCTGAAAATGAGATTCAGGGAGGCCCCTGAGGTGTTGTAGGCAGCACAAATCAACAACCAATTCAGAACACACTGACCTTCATCAGTAAAAAGGAGTCACTAGAAAGAGACACAGTGTCGAGGGGGGAAAGTACTAGGAAATGGAGAAGAAAATGAAAGGAGGAGAAGAAAAGCAGGGGAGATAAAGCAGGCTCAGTCCTCGGATGGCATAAAATCACCCTGTCTCCAAGTCAGTGAAAGAAGCACTTAGAGCTCTGTCCTCAGTGCTAATGCAGAGACTAAGGGCTCAAATGGGGTCATCTTCTTCTAAAAATATTTTTGCATCTTCTTAGCCCAGACATAAAGAGTAAAACCAAGTCTCCTGACTTGCCATGGGGTCTCAGATTCTTCCAAAGGCCCTGCACACCCCGTATCACTCTGAAATGTGAAGCTTACCACCTTTGTCTGAATCAAAATCTGACAGACATGGCCACAGTTCCTGCCTGACGCGCAACCTGCTGGAAAAGAGAGGACAAGTTTGTGTGACATACCAAATCCATCTCCTGCCTTCCATTGTGTAACTACCCAGCTCACATCCCTTCTCTCCTGCCAGCCTGGTTGTTGCTGGTTCTCACTAGGTGGTTTCTAATTTAAACTTCTCCAGTGGCAAGCATTTATCTGACTGGTGTGTCCATAAATCACTTCTGTTGTCTTTTTACTGAAGCAAGTGGTGGGATCACATTTGAGTCTATGTTAAAGCAGGCTCACACAAATATTCCAGCTCCTACACTATGTCACTCTGCTTCCATCCATCAGGAATTTTCACATAAAATTTTAGTTTTGCATAAACCCACCAACTCATCAAATATAAACTGCCTGGGGAAAACATCTTGGGTTTGACAGAGATTCTTCCAGGTTTTCCTGGCAGGCTGCCTCCATATTTCACGTCTCCAGTGCAGCCATGCCCTCAGAGAGGGGCCATCAGATTTTCCACCCAGGTTTTTGTTCTGCCCAAGTCCGAAAGCAGCAATGCTGGGAGCTGGCTAGCCCAAGAGGTGTGGAGCACTTGTGCCAAGGCAGTCAGCTCTGCAGTCACAGACATCGCCAGCTGCAGTGTGGAAATGCACAAGGCTCTCAGCTGATTCAGCTACAGCTGGCATAGACCCTGAGCAGCATGCTTGGTTTCAGGAGTATTCTGGATTGGCATTTCCGACTGAATTTCATCTCTACAGAAACCACTGCGGGTAAAGAGGCTACTTCCAGATAAAGCAACAACGTATTTTTAAATCATAGAGTCATAGCAACATTTAGGTTGGAAAGACCTTTAAAATCATTGAGTCCAACCATTAACCCAGCACTGCCAAGTCCACCACTAAACCATGTCCCTAAGCACCACATCTACATGTCTTTTAAATGCCTCCAGTGATGGTGATCCCACCACTTCCCTGCAGAGTCTGTGCCGATGCTTGACAACCTTTTCAGGGAAGAATTATTTCCTAATATCCAATCTAAACCTCCCCGGCACAACTTCAAGCTGCTCCCTCTCATCCTGTCACTTGTTACCAGGGAAAAGGGACCAACACCCACCTTGCTACAACCTCCTTTCAGGCAGTTGTAGAGAGCAATAATGTCTCCCCTCAGCTAAACCACCCCAGTTCCCCCAGCCACCCCTCATAAAACTTGTTCTCCAGCCCCTTCACCAACTTCCAAAAGGGATCTTCCAATGTACACCCCAGATTTCAGCCATTTCTAATCTCAACTGTAATTCCCTAAATTAGGAGTTCTCTGCTTTTATTCGAACAGCAGATGCACCACTCCAATTCCTAATTACACATGAAGAAAGTGAACAAGAAGGAGGGAAAACATAGGGAAAAAGAGGAAGGAACAAAGACAGAAAAAAAACCCTGAGAAATAGAAGCCTGTACGTAGATAAAATGCCTTGCTAGTTGATTATCACAATAGAAACACAGAAAAAAACTGAAATGGGCACAGGGAAAGGGAGAGTGGTGTGAAGTTGCAAAACTCTAGGCTCACTCTCCTGTGGGTGTTTCAAGACGAAACATCTCACAGATACTCTTCAGAGAACCAGTGTGGTCTGAGTGCTGCAGCTGCACAGTCAGTTCTTGACTCTGGTTCTCATCATTTCTCATGGGCATTTAACACTAAACTTGGGCATTGCTGCACAAGCCAGAGTCCTATTGAACCTCTGAGATCCCAAGATCTGGAGTAGCTGTTATGTACCACTACCAGATGCTGATCAGGCCCACAGCAGAGATCTGCCTCCAGGCCATTTGGGATCCTCGAGTCCCCATCCATGGGCTGTGACTCCCATGGAGAAACCACCAGGGAGGTAGTGAGGAGCAGACACTGCCTCATAGAAGTAAGTACATGAGCTTTAAATGAGCATTCCAAAACTGTGCAGAGAGCTCTTCCCCTGACTGGTGGCAGGGAAGGATATCTTATTACTCCTATTAAATCTGAATTCCCCAAAAGCCCAAGAGCAGTTGGAGCTCTGGGTCTATTTACATTCTTTTACAGCTTGCTTCTCTTTCTCTTTTATGCTTCCCAAGCATACAAAAACAAGGACTGGGTTCCACCTTGGAGACTACGCTTATTAATTTTCCTCTTTCTTTCCATCTCTTGATCCTGCACATATCTGATCTCTAGAAAATCCATGCCCTTGCCTTTGCAGCGTGGGATGCATAACCCAGACAGAGGCTGGGAAAGGTTTAACTTGCTATGGAAGAGGTGGTCCTGGTCCCATCCCGAAGGGGCTGTAATTATACCTGGGAAAAGGACGTCTCATCTGGGTGCAAAAGGCAAGTGTCCTAGGGGCTTACTATCACCTGGAAAGCAGGTGTCTTATTAACTCTGTGAAGTCTTCAGGTAAGATGTTATTTTTGTTGCTGTGATTCAAAAGGGCCTGGCAGGATTTTGATGACTACCTCGATTTCATTCCCCTGTGGTGCTGTCAACCTTTGCAGCTTTAGAGTCTTGAGATATTTATTATCTGTCTGAAGTCAGTGTAAGACTTTTGATGGTGGGTTTATTTTTTGCCTTTCTTTGCTTTCTTTTTATTCTGTTTTTACACGTATCTTACTTTGTAAGTCAGAAAGGCTACATAAACTTTGAATGTGCAGCCTCTGAGGAGTTAGACACCAGAAAGCATAAGGCTTGTTTTGCCTTTGAAAAACAGGGAGGAAAGCAACATGTCTTGAATCCAGTGACAGTTGATGCAGACTCATTACTCAGGGGTGCTTATCTGTAATTGTTTTTTCTTTTTCAATACTTCAGGTAGATGGCAATGGTCTGCCAATGAAAATGGTAGGTTCTGGGCTCTCTCTTTTGGCTTTCTGTCTCTTCCTTTATGTCCTCTACCTTGCCTTCCTCAGACTTGCAAGCCATTGCAG